CATCATTCATCCTTTGAAACCCGTCCATCAAATTCTTTCCAATATTTCAGAATTTAACCCTCTGCCATTAGCCAGCACTTCAGACAGGACCCTGAATCCTTCAACAACAAGGTGCCAGCCATTTCAGCACTTGACAGTACCACCCCAGGTTAAATCAGGTTCAGTACTGGACAGGGCCTGTGGTGACTGCACAGCAGTGGCAGACAAGGTGCCAGCCATTTCAGCACTTGACAGTACCACCCCAGGTTAAATCAGGTTTAGCACTGGACAGGGCCTGCGGTGACTGCACAGCAGGGGCAGACAATGAGCCAGCCATTTCAGCACTGGACAGTACCACCCCAGGTTAAATCAGGTTCAGCACTGGACAGGGCCTGTGATGACTGCACAGCATGGGCAGACAAGGCGCCAGCCATTTCAGCACTGGACAGTACCACCCCAGGTTAAATCAGGTTCAGCACTGGACAGGGCCTGCGGTGACTGCACAGCAGGGGCAGACAAGTCGCAAGCCATTTCAGCACTGGACAGTACCACCCCAGGTCAAATCAGGTTCAGCACTGGACAGGGCCTGTGGTGACTGCACAGCAGGAGCATACAAGGCGCCAGCCATTTCAGCACTGGACAGTACCACCCCAGGTCAAATCAGGTTCAGCACTGGACAGGGCCTGCGGTAACTGCACAGCAGGGGCACACAAGTTAATTGTTTTGTCGGAGGGCTTCTGGGGGGCTGCACTTCACTCATCCTTTGAAACCCGTCCATCAAATTCTTTCCAATATTTCAGAATTTAACCCTCTGCCATTAGCCAGCACTTCAGACAGGACCCTAAATCCTTCAACAGCGCCCATACGAGGCCCCTCAAGTTCAGCACTGGACAGGGCCTGTGGTGACTGCACAGCAGGGGCAGACAAAGCGCAAGCCATTTCAGCACTGGACAGTACCACCCCAGGTTAAATCAGGTCCAGCACTGAGGGCTTCTGGGGGGCTGCACATCACTCATTCTTTGAAACCCGTCCATCAAATTCTTTCCAATATTTCAGAATTGAACCCTCTGCCATTAGCCAGCACTTCAGACAGGACCCTAACTCCTTCAACAGCGCCCATACGAGGCTCATCAGATTCAGCACTGGACAGGGCCTGTTGTGACTGCACAGCAGTGGCAGACAAGGCACCAGCCATTTCAGCACTGGACAGTACCACCCCAGGTTAAATCAGGTTCAGCACTGGACAGGGCCTGTGGTGACTGCACAGCAGGGGCAGACAAGACCCAAGCCATTTCAGCTCTGGACAGTACCACCCCAGGTTAGATCAGGTTCAGCACTGCACAGGGCCTGTGGTGACTGCACAGCAGGGGCAGACAAGTTAATTGTTTTGTCTGAGGGCTTCTGCATATCACTCATCATGTGAAATCCGTCCATCAAATTCTTTCCAATATTTCAGAATTTAACCCTTTGCAATTAGCCAGCACTTCAGACATGGCCATAACTCCTTCAACAGTGCCCATACGAGGCTCCTCAGGTTCAGCACTGGACAGGGCCGGCTCACAAAGTTTTCTAAGTCCCACCGCTGTACCAGGGCTCCGGCTCTGTAATTTTTCTAATTCCCACCGCTGTACCAGGGGTCCAGCTCGCAAATTTTTCTATGTCCCACCGCTGTACCAGGGGTCCGGCTCGCAATTTTTCTAACTCCCACCGCTGTACCAGGGGTCCAACTCGCAAAGTTTTCTAGGTCCCACCGCTGTACCAGGAGTCCGGCTCGCAAAGTATTCCAAGTCCCACCGCTGTACCAGGGCTCCGGCTTGCAAATTTTTCCAAGTCCCACCGCTGTACCAGGGGTCCGTCTCGCAAAGTTTTCCAAGTCTCACCGCTGTACCAGGGTCCGTCTCGCAAAGTTTTCCAAGTCCCACTGCTGTACCAGGGGTCCGTCTCGCAAAGTTTTCCAAGTCTCACCGCTGTACGAGGGTCCGTCTCACAAAGTTTCCATGTCTCACCGCTGTACCGGGGCTCCGGCTGGCAATTTTTTCTAAGTCCCACCGCTGTACCAGGGCTCCGGCTCGCAAAGTTTTCTAAGTCCCACCGCTGTACCAGGGGTCCGGCTCGCAATTTTTTCTAAGTCCCACCGCTGTACCAGGGGTCCGTCTCACAAAGTTTTCCATGTCTCACCGCTGTACCAGGGCTCCGGCTGGCAATTTTTTCTAAGTCCCACCGCTGTACCAGGGTCCGTCTCGCAAAGTTTTCTAAGTCCCACCGCTGTACCAGGGGTCCGGCTCGCAATTTTTTCTAAGTCCCTCCGCTGTACCAGGGGTCCGTCTCACAAAGTTTTCCATGTCTCACCGCTGTACCAGGGCTCCGGCTGGTAATTTTTTCTAAGTCCCACCGCTGTACCAGGGTCCGTCTCACAAAGTTTTCTAAGTCCCACCGCTGTACCAGGGCTCCGGCTCGCAAAGTTTTCTAAGTCCCACCGCTGTACCAGGGGTCCGGCTCGCAATTTTTTCTAAGTCCCACCGCTGTACCAGGGGTCCGGCTCGCAATTTTTTCTCGGTCCCACCGCTGTACCAGGGGTCCGGCTCGCAATTTTTTCTAAGTCCCACCGCTGTACCAGGGGTCCGGCTCGCAATTTTTTCTTAGTCCCACCGCTGTACCAGGGCTCCGGCTCGCAAAGTTTTCTAAGTCCCACCGCTGTACCAGGGTTCAGAATGTCTTGCTGCCATACCAGGGGCCCGGACAGTTTGCCGGTGCGCTCTACTTGGTTTAGTCCGTGGGGGGGTGCTTAAGGGTGGGTCCCCGGGCCCGCCTGGTGCTGGCTGTTCCCCAGGGAGGTGTGTTGGTGGTCTACCTATCCAGGGAGGAGGCCCCTTGGGCGGATAGGAGGTGCATGGGAGAGACCCCCTGGAACCGGATCCAGGAAGAGATAGGGAGGTAGGGCTTTCGTAGGCGGGCTCAGGGGGTGTGCTTTGTGGGTAAACAACCTCCAACCCTGGATGGAATATGTTTATTTTTTTTTTTTTTTTTATCAAAGAACCAGATTCCTGGAGGTCAAGGGGAGGTTGTGACCAGCCTATCCGAGGAGCAGGCCTCTCGGCCGGGCAGAGGCTTGATGAGAGAGACCCCTTAGAACAAGCTCCAGGAAGGGATGGGGATGTAGGGCTTTTGCAGGCGGGCTCAGGGGGTGTTCTTTGTGGGTAAATCACCTCAAACGCTGGAGGAAATGTGCCTATCTAACTCTAACCCTAACCCTAGGGCTTTTGCAGGCGGGCTCAGGGTGTGTGCTTTGTGGGTAAATAACCTCAAACGCTGGAGGAAATGTGCCTATCTAACCCTAACCCTGGATGTCAAGGGGGGCTTCCCCAGCAGGCAATCCGAGGAGGAGACCTCTCAGGCGGGCTGTTCAAAACTCAACGCATTTCCTGACATTTTGAATTGAAAAAGCCCCCTGGAAGGGAGGAGAAACGTCTTCAAATTTGGAAACCAAGTCCAGTGGATTGTTTTTAATTTTTTTTGGAATAACTATGACCTGGATGACTAAGAACCTTCACTAGCCCTTAAAAATAGTTTTTTTTTATATTCATATCTTCAGGTAACACAGAGCACATGTCAGACTTAATAATATTACTTTAGCGATAGTTTCAAGGTGTTGCTTTATTGTATATCTCGTATCATGTCTTTCGGTTGTGCTGTTCTTTTTTCATCTCGTTACAGGTGATGAAGCAGACGGAAAATGTTTTGTCATTGTCTCCTTTCTATCTCTTCTTTCTTTCATCTTTTCTCTTTTTTTTTCTTTCTTCTTCTGTTTCTCTGCTCTATTTACATTGCAGTGTTCATATAAACTGTAAAACTCCCTGCATAATTACAATAAAGCAATTTATATGCATGAAACAAGTGTAGCAGTATGGCAATTGCCATACTGCTACACTTGTGAAAGTAAAATCTGTTTGGGTTCTTTTTGGCATCAAGACAATTATTCTTATTGCCACATTGCCAGACAGGACACTGTTTAAAAAAAATAAATAAATAAAAAAAATAAAAAAAAAGGTTTTTGCAGATAATCTCAATGTAGACTGAGTGTAAGCTACTTTGCAAAACATAATTGACAGAAGGATAAGTTTTGATGGAAACATAGTCTTATTAATATAATTGTTTCTGCTGACTTTTATTTGTAAAAAAAAAAAAAAAAAAAATGTTAATTTCCCTGCACTTTGCATAAAATCACAATAAAATGTTCTGCAGTTTCTAGTAGTGACAAGGCAAAACACTATGCATAATAAAACATACAATAATAAAATGAATGGATGCAGGTAGCTTCTACTGCCTGCAGACCTACGGACTGAAATCCTGGCCAATGTTCAGAGCTGAGATGAAGTTTATAACTTATGCTTCTTCCATGCAACATTCTTAATTTGCACATTTTGTTTTCACACTAACTAAACCATAAAATGGAATTGTACTTGAGGTAAGTAGAGCATGTGTATTACTGTGTGAGTATACTGCATATTGTAAACAGCTGAGTCAGTTATAACCCTTGACCAAGAAAGAGAAATGTTTGACGAAAGATCTCCAGAGTCTTTCAGAGCTCAAGTCCTACAGCCACGCAGCAGACTGATGGGATGAAAACCTCTTTGATCCTTCATCTGTGTGTCTCTGCCCACGTTCCATATGCATTTTTTGTATCCAGTTAAGATGGTTTTCTAAGATTACTTTTGAAAATGCTTTTTAAAAAATCTCTTGCCACTCAGGCCTCTGCAGAAATAGTGCAAATGTCAATATTGTCATATTTTGAGAATGTCTCAGATCAATTCCTTTGACACAGATACACTGGTTCAAAACCTGTTTGTCCATATATTTTCACTTGTTTGGCTAAAGAATGGATGCATGGAAGCCAGCACAAGTTCTTCTACTCACTATGTGTATTATTACAGCTTTGACTGTTGGGATCAAAAGGTGCTCATTTGACTGGTAGGTCATCCGGATAAAGTACGAAAACAGAACTTAAATGTTAATTTACTTACGTTCCCAGCACTTCTTTGAAGTCATAATGTTCTTTGATCTCTGATGTCTTCTTTTTCCATCCGTTTCCATCCTCTCCAAGAGGCATCCTACAACCCTGATTGGATTCGCCACACTAAAACTAAAGGGGAGAAAGAACTAATTTGGGGTGTGTCCATGCAGGTTTTACACAGCTACATGTACGAGCTAATAACTTTTACATAAAGAAGCGTATAATAGTAACCGTAAAGAAAAACTGAAATGGATTATTTAAAAACATTTAAGGTAATACTAATACATGTTTTCTTATATTCTCCCATACAACACGGGGACAAATCAAAGGCCAACCAATAGAGTATGACACAAAATCCCTTCGTAAATAATTTCAACAACTTTTTACTTTTTCATCTGATTCTACTTTGCATTATTCATGCATACATTATATCTTCAAATCCTTTAGGATCACTGGTGCCTTGGCATGCCGCTTCTTCCACATATATATCCATATATTGATCTCAATCTCAGGTCTTGATGCCACAAATATATATATATATTATATATATATATATATATATATATATATATATATATATATATATATATATATATATATATATATATATATATATATATATATGAACACATCTGTCTTGGTTCACTTATAACATCACTTTGTAAAGCACCCTTTTGTGATTTCCATACGGTGAGAAAGCAAACAGACTATCTAGCATACGAAAGAGGGAAAGTAATAGAGCCTATAAGAAGAGCTGCTGTACCTACATGGCATAGTTCACTTGGTTTGATCCACTTTTAAAATATGCAGTTTGAAAATCCAGTGTGAAACCAAATGAAGGTGGGATCCACAGCAATGGTGTATATATCAGTAAGCAGAGACTGCGCTTGCTTTGGGGCCCCGTCACTGATACCTAGAGGCCCCCTTCTCAATTGTGAACTAGGACGTCTCTTTGCAGATGTAATGGTGAGAAAAAATCCTCTGAAACCCACCTGATACTAGGTTAATTAACCAGACCTCATTTATACCCCAACACATGCCAAATTTCAATATGATATGGTGAGTTTAAACACGACACCAATAGCAAAGCAGACAGTGGTACTTTTAATTACTATGTCAGTAACTGTGTATAGTTCATTAGATGTTTGGTTAAATAATACACTCATATAATATGTTTAAAACCACAATTAAGATCTTGAAAGAACAATGTATTTTAGTATTTTATTCTTTGCAATATGACTTGGAATTATGGGTAATCCAGAGTGTAGATTGGGGTGTTGTACTTCATATTGGGCCCACCCTGATAATGTTAATTACGGGCCTATTGTTGTGTCGTTACGCCATTGATCAACAGTTTATAAACTAAATCTGTGTAGCACAGAATCTATGGTCAGTATACATTTATCAAGATAGGATCTTATCAGTAGTTTAGATGTTGAACTAAGAGTTTAACAAACAGGCCAGATTTCTTATGCAAAACAGAGAAGAAGCTGCAAATCAGATTCCATCTTATGTTGTTAGTCAGAGATATCATTTGGATACATTTTACATCTTTACAGGATACAAGATTATCTACACAATGGAATGATATAAAATAACCAATAGAAGACTTGATATAACTATTTGACACATTTTGTAGATATCTTGTGGTGGTGGTACAGTAAGTAGTAGGCCTATGATGCACAAGTTTCTTGTCTAAATTGCATCACCTTGCTATATAATCATCAACATATTATTAAGCTGTTTCCCAGCTGTTCTATAAGATATATAATTGATCCTTGTTGGTTTTTATAAAAGCATCCAGGCCCGTAACCAGCATTGAGAACACAGAGGTTATGTCCTCGGTATTTTCCTGTTTTTTTTTTTTTTTTATTCAGAGAAATGTCAAACTATATAATGAAAGTTGTTCTGACTTTGATTGGTGTAAATATCAGCATGCCTTCTCATTTCTTTTAAAATAAAAATAAAGTCCACAAATGTGATATATTGCTGCAAGTCAGATTCATTTCATGCACATGCATGGTGATGATGGTGACAATAATAATAGTAGTAATAATAATTCAATATTGATAACAACAACAATAATAATATAGTATAATGATGTTAATAATAATAATAACAATAACACTCACTCATACTCACTCACTCAAATACTCTAATTTAGTGAGTTTTGGAATTGTTATAATAAACATGTTCATATTCACCTCCTTGATGGGCTTGTGATTTAACTCTCTTTATTCACGTTTCCAAAATATGTTTTAAAAAGTCACCATATTAGGATGTTTTTTTGTCAAGAAAGATTTATCGCAATATTTGACCTCGGTATTTCAAAAAACCTGGTTACGGCCGTAAAGGCATCCAAGGTTTTGCTTATAAAAAACTGTTTTTGAACCTATATATAAAAAATATGCCCTTATTCCATTGGGATAAACCCACTAGAATCAAGTAATCCCTAAACTAAGTTTAGGTGCCTTTAAACTAGCAAAACTGAACACCTTGCATGACAGAGCTGCTGGCATGAAAATCTTTAGTTTAGGATGCTTTATTTAAAACATATAGATTTTTAATAATACAATGCTTATTCTGCATTGATTGCTGTAAATTATATATCTAAATTGTATGCATTAAAAATGCTACAAGTTACCAAACTCGGGAAAACCTTAAAACAAAAAAAAAACACTTAAAGGACTTCAAACGTGACAAACAGTAACTTCAGATCTTGCTGCTTATAGCCTAATTTAATCGAAAGATAGTAACTGATCATTTATTTTAAAATATTGTCCATTGAAGAGGAAAGTCGCACTAAAGGATCAGTATTCCGTTGCAAACAAACGCATGGTTGGTAGAGGGACACAAGCTGGAGAACCTGTGCTATATTTAATTAACATCTGAAGCTTTAAACAGTTCAGAGGGAGGAAAAAATAGAATAAAAACATTACACATATTTAATACAGAGACATGCATTCCAATAGCTAAATACCCCTGAGTAACATTTATCAACCTGTTCTGCATTAAGGCTGCAGGGCGTGAATGACATGCAAGTAAACTGAGTTTCTACGCAATTCAACCATTCACTGGTGCCATACCCAACACTGAAATATGTGTTTTTCAGGATGCAATTACGAAACAACTCCTTGGTATAAAGAGAGGCAGAGCGGTGTGGGTGTGCAGCCTGTTTACTGCAGCGCTCAAGGGTATGGCAGTCAAATATAGGCAGCATCTTTAGGTTGAATCAAGAGGCTGCGGACATGGAGGCGCACCGAATGCGCTGCGTTTTACGCAGCATGGAAAGTACAAGTTAGTGCATTTGAGAAAAATCTGCATTTGGAAGTAAAACGTACCTAAATGGCGATTTGTAGCTGTGCGGTGCCCTGCTTTCCTCTGGGAGAGATGTGGTTGCTGAGCTGGTGCGCAGCGCTGGATGCGCTCAGACTTCTCCTGACGTCAAGAAATCCAGACGTCTACGGACGTAGTGTACCAGAAAAATCACTAACTGTTCTCTTTAGCGACGCGGATCTGCAAAACTTACGATCTGGTCGTCGAGCCACTCTCTGTTAAAATATGGGAGGTGCTTTCCTATTTATTATTTTTTTTTTATTAGATATCTGCTTTTGTGGAGCGTGTATGTTCTGCAGTTTTACAGGGATTTTTTAAACAAGCTCTGCCTATGATATGAATAATGTATCTGTAGGAAAAGCATCAGAGTTTTCCTCTTTTGCAGAACAAAATATTACAGACTACATCTGGAAAGACTTTTTGTTAAATATAATTTAAACCCCAGTCTTGAGGTAGCTAACGCCTATTTTCTCTTGAAAATGCATTTCAGTTAGAGAAATTATTTTCTTTAACTAAAATGGTTGTGAGATGCTGATAAATAAAGGAAAAAAATTAAAATTAAATAGCCTACTACAATTAATAGTTGGGCATTACAAATAGCTTAAGTCTAAACATTAATTTTAATTTGTTAATTTGTGTTTTCGAGTCCTAAAAGTTTTAGACAAAAGTTCAAAGCTTAAACAACAGTGCCTTCAACGACATCTTGCCTCCATATATCAAAACATATTGTTTTATCAAATGGATCCCCATTGCAGCAATTTCCCTAGACTGTTGGCAATGCCCTAGGAATTTTTTAATTTTTTTTTTTTGTCAAGCACTGGACTAAATTTAAAAACATGGACTACATTTACATAGCTAAGGTTATTGGTTCAAGTTTCTGTTTGTCTTTTCTTTTTATTATTTGTTTTTAGCATATTTTTTTTCTGTTAGTTTTCTTAGCCCCATAAGGGAAATTGCTGTTTTGGGGTCAGGGGTCAGGTTTAAGACTAAGGTGTGAAGGGATTGCGGTTAGGTATAAACCCCAAATGGATAGGGGTAGGGTAAGGGTAGGCTGTAGAAATTAATGGAAGCCAAGTCAAGGGCCCCGCAAAGATAATGAGATAAGTTTATAATTCCTTGTTTCCTATTTAGGACCATTTTTGGTATATGTATTACCTTCTGTGGACCCACAGGCCTTGTGGGGACCAGTGACACAGACTTTTTGAAGGCCAAGGGCAGAAAAAAAAAGGGCAAATATATTCCGTCCTCAGGACTGTAGAGGGCAGTTTAGCCAGTATTTTGGCTCCCGAGAGGGTACTTTAGCATGCGTTTGGGCTCCCTACAGTGCACTTTAGCATGTGTTGACACTTTAACATGCAGTTTGTCTCCCCAGATGGCACTTTACACATGTTGTGACTCATGCAAGGGTCTTTTAGCATGCGTTTGGGCTCCCAAGAGGGCACTTTTTCACGTTTTGGCGCCCAAGGCGGCAGTTGAACACACATCATTGCACCGAAGGATTTACTTTAGCACAGGACTCCCCAACCTCGGTCCTCAAGGCCCACTGTCCTGCAGGTTTTAGAGGTTTCCCTGTTTTAGCACAGCTGATTATAGCGATTGCAGAAGGCCAAATGCCTGTTAATCAGCTTTCAATTAAAATCAGCTGTGCTGGAGCAAGGAAACTTCTAAAACCTGCAGGACAGCGGGCCTCGAGGAACGAGGTTGGGGATGCCTGCTTTAGCACACATTTTGGCTTCCAAGGGCACACTTTAACATGCATTTTGGCTCCAAAGGGTTCACATTGGCACATGTTTTGACTCCCAAAAGGGCACTCTAAAATGCATTTTTTCTCCCAAGACAGCATGTGTTTTATCTCTCAAGAGGGCATTTTAGCATGCATTTTGGTTTCTAAGAGGGCACTTTAGCGTGTGCTTTGGCTTCCAAGGGGGCACTTTAGGATGTGTTTTGGCTCGCAAGGGGGCATGTGTGGACCCCCATTTTAAATGTTAGGCAGTTAATTTAAAGGTATGGATTGGTTTAAGTTAAAGTAAAGCTTTGGATTAGGAATATACAATAAGGGTTAGGGTAAATGTCAGAGTTAGGCATACAGTAAATGAAATTACTAAAATGAATGTATGTCAAGGTAAAGTGTTAATATGGATAGAAATAAATGCTTGTGTGTTCCTGTTTTCAATCCATTATGTCTGCCAACTACATTGGAAAAGCAGCATATTGTGGGGATCAACTGCTCCTTGTGGGGCACAATGCCTGGATTCCCCAAGCGGAATTGCTGTTTTTGGGTCAAAGGTCACATTTAGGTGTGAAATGAGTTAAGGTTGGGGATAGGGTTATGTATGAACCCATAATTGCTAGGTTTAGGGTAAGGGTCACTGTTAGGCAGTAGAAATGAATGGAAGTCAAACCATCAGATTTCAGATTTGCCCCAAACAGGGCCAACTAGAGGGCCCACAGAACATCAAAATTTTTCTGTCCTCTGATTGGTCAGTTAAAGCAAGATGTTTACAGCCAAGTTAAGCTAGCGCTACTCTGCATTTTCGTTTTTGATTTGCTTTTGTTAAAGGTTGTTCTGGCCTCAATAGCTGATACGGAATGGACAAGACTTCCTGCACAAAGCCAGGAGGATGGATTTTGTTTAGAAATGATGAGTATCTCTGGTGAGTGTGATATATTTTGTTTTCATGCTTTATGCTTCATTTTATCTGGTAATTAGACGCATGTTGAATCTGAACGGCTAGATGATTTAAATGTTGCGGAGCTGTGGTTATACTGTTGAGGATTGGGGTTGTCTTAACTGGGCCTCTTGCTTAACTGATCTCTGTATCCACCTTCACACAAATTTCCTTGTTACATTTTATATTTTAATACCATTGGGGGCTTCTGTAATGATATCAATGGATAAGTAGACTAAGTTGAGGGGTGGCCCCTAGGTACCATGTGCACCGTCCACCACTCCATGAATTTGGCCAAGGTTTTTTTCATCCTTTGGGGACAATTACCCAGAAATATGCTACACTTTGGGGACTTACAGGTACTTTTGGAGACCAATGACTGGTCCCCATGAGGAGAAGTTATCCTCTTTAAGGGAGTTTCTGGCTTCTTCAAAGTAACAGCTGGACATTGCACCCTACAGTGACCCCCCCCCCCCCCCCCCCCCATCTGCATATATAAGGAAATATAGATAACTAATGTATCACTTTATTTTCAATGTATTTATTTATTTAAAAAAAAAATTAATGCAGTAAAAAATCTTGTGAAATGCACAACTGTACAACTCGCCTATTTGCAGTGCTTGGTTTTCAAACTTGTTCACGAATGATAGGTTTTTCTGACTTAAAACTTAAGATGATAAAATATTTCATCATTTTGTTTTACACAGATCATCCTAGCAGACAAGGAACAAATATGTAATTTATTAAGTAATTATCCGTTTATATATTTATATATTTATATATATATATATATATATATATATATATATATATATATATATATATATATATATATATATATATATATATATATATATATATATATATATATATATATATATATATATATATATATATATATATATATATAAACTGTAACTGGAGCATGTAACAAAAGTAATTTCCCTCTTGGATTATTAAAGTATTTCTGATTCTGAAGAAATACAATGAATGGACAATATTTCTTCTCTTTATTTTCCAAAAGGTTTTTGAATCAGTCACATGTAGAGGGCATCTTTAGTTCATGTTGAACCATTTAGAGGGCAGATTTAATTGTATTTTTTTTTTATCATGAATCATAGAATTTGCTGGAGGACTTACAATGCAATACCACCTCGGAACTCTAGGGGTCAGCGCTTCCTCCTGCCAAACACACTACGACTCCAACTTCCGGGCAGGGGTTTTCAAAGAACACTAGCTAGCAACCTAGCTAGCGTGAACTGTTCTTTTGCTCAGGGAAATATTTGTTACACTTTCCGGAAGTCGGTAAGATGTGTGTCTGCGGTGGGATGTTTTGTTAATGTTTTTCATTCTTCTTTAATATTTTTTTTTTTTTTTTGGAAACTAGCTTGACGTTCATTTTAATAAGAGCAGCTAGTCAGCAGGAACAGGATGCTAGTAGCCGCACGACAGATTGCTTTGTTTCATTCTAGCCTTGGTAACCCGTTGAGCTGTAGTCCCAACTTTTAACTTTGTTGATGGTTTGGGGTTGTTAAAACAGACGTCCTGCGTTCAGAATGAATTTCTTCAAGAGTTTATTGACAGTTTTGCTCATTTATTTTTTTCTTGGTGTTGTTTCCAGCTGGTAAGCTAGTTTATTAAAGCAGTTGGCGATGTCAGCGAACTCCAAGAGGAGAAGAGCCACCTCTCCCTGCAGTAGTGTCAGCGGAGGAGCAGATCCGGAGGATTCCTCGACTCCTGTAAGCAATCGGAAAAGGAGGAAGATTTCCAACGTTGCTCCTGTTGATACGGTGAGTGTGCTGTATTTACACGACTAAAACTGACGGGACTTTATCGCCAACATCTAACGGCTGAACTTGTTTTCCTGTGCTTCTTTTGTCCTTCAGATTGCTGTCTGTCATGAGCTGTTTAATGCTGTTAAAGACTATAAGGATGGCCAAGGGCGGCAACTTTGCGATGCTTTTCTTAGAGTACCAAAGAGAAGGTATTATGTTCGAAGTTATATTAGATGATCAGAGCATATTACTATATATTTGAACGTATATTTCTTGTTTATGTCTTAGCAGCACATTAAATGTACATCGATTATTTTCCTAATAACCTTGTAGTTAAATGGCTTAGATAAGAGTATGGGAAATTATACAGAAAAAGTAATTGTAAGGAAGGAAAAATCAACTTTAAAACAAAAAACAAACAATCTTCAGATGGATTTTTTTTATAATAGTCTCTATCGGTTAGCAAAATTGTTACAAACGTTTTATTTAGTGAAAAAAGTTGCATTCATTATGGCAAAATTAATTTTTCTTTGGGGAAAAAACTGCCTGCCAAAAGCTCTTACTATATATTTGATATATGTTACTTAATCTGTTCATGTTTATAGTTATTAGATTTGTTACAAATTATGAAATATGGCTGTACTGCTAACACCAGGATTTTTACATATTTGTCTCACACTGATGTTTGTTCAAGTTATCTTAGAGTATTTCTCAAAGTAAACATTTTTGTTAGTTGTAAAAATGCTCGAGAATTTTTTTTTTTGAATTTTAATGA